AACCATAATTCAAAAAGATACATGCACCCCAGTATTCATAGCAGAACTATTCACAATATCAAAGACATGGAAACAACCTAAATGTCCATAGACAGAGAAATGGATAAAGAAGATGTGGAACATACATACAATGGAATGTTACTCAGCCATAAGAAAGAACGAAATAATGCCATTTGCAGCAACATGGATGGACCTAGAGATTGTCATACTGAGTGAAGTAAGTCAGACACAGAAAGACAAATATCATATGATATCGCTTATATGAGGAATCTAAAAAAAAGGATACAAATGAACTTATCTACAAAACAGAAATAGAGTCACAGGTGGAGAAAACAAACTTATGGTTACCTGGGTGTAAGGAGGGGAGGGATAAACTGGGAGATTGGGCTTGACATATATACACTACTATGCATAAGATAGATAATCAACAAGAACCTACTGTATAGAACAATACTCAATACTCAATACTCTGTAAGGACCTATAAGGGAAAAGAATCTAAAAAACAGTGGATATATGTATCTGTATAACTGGTTCACTTTGCTGTACACCTGAAACTATCACAACATTGTAAATCAACTATACTACAATAAAAATTAAAAACAATGTGTTTCTGTGTAAATTAAATTATAATATTATTCTAATTTTTTTTTCTGTTTATTCCCCACAAGTTATTTTCTGTAAAAGACTAAGTGAGATCCTCTTATAGCTGTGATGTGCTTAGGTATATCAGTGTTCAAAGAATCACACGTGAATTCTGTGTATATAAAACTATAAAAGTGATTAATATTTTCAGGACTTTGAAGACAAAATTTTACTGTAATAATTATTACAATGATGAAACTATCCCTTTACTTCATATCTACACATGCTTCACTTAAATTTGGGACTAACGTCTATGTGTACTATTTGTGTGGAGAGGAAGATAGCAATCTGGGATTATTCTTTTAAAATGTGTTAGATTTTCTAAAAATAAATTTGTTAGATTTTCTGTATATATTTTATTCACCATCATTTATTTCATCTATTTGTGTAGCTCCCTTTTTTCATGGTTAGATATTATTTCACAGTCTATTTATTGATTTTTTATTGCTGTTTATTTATTAATTCCAGTTTTTTTCTGTTCTCATTTTCTAATCTTATGATTTGTTATAGTTCTATTTGTAGTATTATTAATCCCTTCTCTTCTTTTTCCTTTAATTTATTTTGTATACCTTTTTGAGTCAGTTTAAATAATTTGTGTTCAATATTGTTTTCATTGACATATATATGTATGAACTATGAACTTTTCAATAAACGTGCTCTTTTAGTTATATTTGATAGGTTTTGATATTTTTGTTGTTATTACATTCTGAAATTTGGTTCATATTTCCTCCTTGATCCAAGATTTAAGAAAGAGTTTTAAAGTTTCATGTTAGAAGAGGCATTTTATTTTATGATTTCTGTCAATAGTTCTTTTGTTTTACTGAATTTTGATCAGGAAATATTTTCTGTGTTATTTTTGACTCCTTTTAAAATTTATCTAGATTTTCTTTTTGAGTGAATATATGGTTAATTTTCATAAGGTTCTTGTGTACAGCATAGATTTAGATTTTATTTTGTTAAAAGATTGAAAGTTCTTTTTTGTCTTAATAGGAGAGTAAAGCTTCTTACATTTAAAATGAATCATATTGGTCTTTTGTGTTATTTTATGTTTTCTCTTTATGGTTACTGAAAAAATTTTGCTTCGTGGGCTATTTCTTTCCTCTGTTTTCACATGTGTGTATGTGTTTTCTTTTGTTTTGAAAAGTTTTTATTCTGTTTTGAAAGGTTTTGATTTTTAAAATTCTTATTCTTAATAATTATATCTTTCTCTTAGATGTCAAGTTTTTAAAGATCATCTCTTCCTTACTATGAACTATGCCAAAATGGCATATTTCCTTTTCATTCTTTTCCTCTCTTCCTCAATGACCACACTATTTTGATAAAGAATACTGTGTTTCTTAGTCTTTGACTATGTGTTCTATTGTATTGCTATGTTTTCTTTGGGGCTTAAATTACATTTATGCTGGACTTCCTTTGCCTATCTTTTATATACATCATTTTCTTTCTAAATAGTCTACATTTTTCACCCTTCATTTCATTATTTTCATTTCTCAATTAGATGTCCTTTACTGTGTTTTTCATAAAGTTTATTTTCCTTTGTGTTCTTACAATATCAACTTTATTTCTGTTACTTTTTTCCTTGAATTTTTTTTTTCTTCCTGAACTAACAGCTCACATTCATTTCCTTCTGTTATCTTGACACCACTTTTTGGAGTTCTTGTCTTTCTGATCAGTGGTTTTCTTCAATAAATGTTATTAAGATGCTTTACTCATGGCAAAATATTTGGACATAATTTTTTAACTGCTCCATGGTAATATTTTATTTCAGTAAATTTTTATCCATTGTTTATTTTTCTGTTCTTTTCCAGGTTTTCTTTTTTCCCATTTTGGTATATATTTTGGATGTTGTGTCAGATGATGTTTTAAAATTCACCACTGAATGAATCTCATTTCCTAGAATCAGACACCAGTAAATGATTCTTGTGCAGAGTGAGGGCCCAGTGCAGCCAGGCAGGCTTCACAGTGGACAGCTGTCCAGATGACCTGCTGGAGTCTGACGGCTCCACACAGAAGGGGCTCTCTTGGTGATTCTTCCTGTGGCCCTGTCTCTTTTGCCTGAATAAAAGATGTGTCCAGAGTTATCTGCCAATCCTGCTGACGCAATAGTTCCTTCTCTCATTGTTGCCAAGAATAGATATGACATTGCTCTGTAGGACAAGCTTCTCACTTTTAAGAAATGAACTTCTTTGCTGGGACATGCTGAGATCTTCTGGCTTGAGCCATGGGCCACATTTTTCCTTTACTTCCTCCCGGGTCACTTCTGTTCCATCTTACATGCTTTTGAAAACCTTCCCACATATTCTTCAATCTGAAAATTGGATCTTTCTCCTAGCTTTGCTGACCATTTGTTTTGTAGCTTTTAAAAAATTCTTCCTCTGGGAAGAGTGATGGAATAATAGTGACATATTTTACCTGAAGTCTTCTTATGTTGACTAAACAGAGAACTTATGGTTAGACTGACTTTAAAAATTGGATTTTGATTTATTTAAAATCATCCTCACATTTTCTTGGAGAAATATATCTTAAAATTTGTTTATATCTATCTTTTCTCTATCCTGTGATTCTGTTTGGGGAAGCAGAAAGTGACTTGTTTTGGTCAAAGCTTCCTATGCACTTACAGCTCCTACCACTTATAAGTGCCGATACAAACTTAGCACTGCAAGGTGAGCAGTTATGAGAATATTAAATGACTTGCCCTGAGCCATAAAATCATGATGATCTGACTTTAGCAGCTGTCAACATTGTCAATACAAGATTTGAACATTCGTTATGACAATCTGAGTCGTGCACTCCTGGGAACGTGCACTTTAATAGCTTGAAAATCAGTCCAGAATTCAGCTGAAGAACCAAATTCCATTATCTTATGTTCATGCTTAGAAAAGGCAAGTTTCAAGAGATTATGTACAATATTGAAAAGAATACGTACCTTTTAAAAAGCACGTAAGGACTTCCCTGGTGGTCCAGTAGTTAAGAATCTGTCTTGAAATGAAGGGGACTCTGGTTTGATCCCTGGTGTGTTTCTGCCATATAACAAAGTGGATCAGCTATACGTATACATATATGCTCATATCCCCTCCCTCTTGTGTCTCCCTCCCACCCTCCCTATCCCACTGCTTTAGGTGGACACAAAGCACTGAGCTGATCTTCCTGTGCTATGCAGCTGCTTCCCACTAGCTATATTTTACATTTGGTGGTGTATATAAGCCCATGTTACTCTCTCACTTCATCCCAGCTTACCCTTCACCCTCCCAGTGTCCTCAAGTCCACTCTCTACATGTGCATCTTATTCCCTTCCTGCCCCTAGGTTCTTCACGACCTTTTTTTTTTTTTTTTTAGATTCCATATATATGTGTTAGCATATGGTATTTGTTTTGCTCTTTCTGACTTGCTTCACTCTGTATGACAGACTCTAGGTCCATCCACCTTGCTACAAATAACTCAATTTCATTTCTTTTTATGGCTGAGTAATATTGCATTGTATATATGTGCCACAACTTCTTTATCCATTCATCTGAGGATGGACACTTAGGTTGCTTTCCTGTCCTTGCTATTGTAAATAGTGCTGCAATGAACATTGTGGACATGACTCTTTTTAAATTATGGTTTTCTCAGGGTATATGCCCAGGAGTGGGATTGCTGGGTCATATGATAGTTCTATTTTTTGTTTTTTAAGCAACCCCCATACTGTTCTCCATAGTGGCTGTATCAATTTACATTCCCACCAACACCGCAAGAGGGTTCCCTTTTCTCCACACCCTCTCCAGCATTTATTGTTTGTAGATTTTTTGATGATGGCCATTCTGATCAGTGTGAGGTGATACCTCATTGTACTTTTGATTTGCATTTCTCTAATGATTAGTGATGCTCTGAGCATCCTTTCATATGTTTGTTGGCAATCTGTATATCTTCTTTGGAGAAATGTCTAGTTAGGTCTCTGCCCATTTTTGGATTGGATTGTTTGTGTTTTTGATATTGAGCTGCATGAGCTGCTTGTGTATTTAGGAGATTAATCCTTTGTCAGTTGCTCCATTTGCAAATATTTTCTCCCATTCTGAGGGTTGTTCTTTTATCTTGTTTATGGTTTCCTTTGCTGTGCAAAAGCTTTTAAGTTTTATTAGGTCCCATTTGTTTATTTTTGTTTATATTTTCATTTCTCTAGGAGATGAGTCAAAAAGGATCTTGCTGTGATTTATGTCATAGAGTGTTCTTCCTATGTTTTCCACTAAGAGTTTTATAGTGTCTGGCCTTACATTTAGGTCTTTAAGCCATTTTGAGTTTATTTTTGTGTATGGTGTTAGGGAGTGTTCTAATTTCATTCTTTTACTTGTAGCTGTCCAGTTTTTCCAGCACCACTTATTGAAGAGGCTGTCTTTTCTCCATTGTATATTTTTGCCTCCTTTATCAAATATAAGGTGATTTTTTTCATCTTTATTGGGGTATAATTGCTTTACAATGGTGTGTTAGTTTCTGCTTTACAACAAAGTGTATCAGTTATACATATACATATGTTCCCATATCTCTTCCCTCTTATGTCTCCCTCCCTCCCACCCTCCCTATCCCACCCCTCCAGGTGGTCACAAAGCACCGAGCCGATATCCCTGTGCCATGCGGCTGCTTCCCACTAGCTATCTACCTTACGTTTGTTAGTGTGTATATGTCCATGCCTCTCTCTCGCCCCGTCACTGCTCACCCTTCCCCCTCCCCATAACCTCAAGTCTGTTCTCTAGGAGGTCTGCGTCTTTATTCCTGCCTTACCCCTAGGTTCTTCATGACATTTTTTTTTCTTAAATTCCATATATATGTGTTAGCATACGGTATTTGTCTTTTTCTTTCTGACTTACTTCACTGTGTATGACAGACTCTAGGTCTATCCACCTCATTACGAATAGCTCAATTTCATTTCTTTTTATGGCTGAGTAATATTCCATTGTATATATGTGCCACATCTTCTTTATCCATTCATCCGATGATGGGCACTTAGGTTGTTTCCATCTCCGGGCTATTGTAAATAGAGCTACAATGAACATTTTGGTACATGACTCTTTTTGAATTTCGGTTTTCTCAGGGTATATGCCCAGTAGTGGGATTGCTGGGTCATATGGTAGTTCTATTTGTAGTTTTTTAAGGAACCTCCATACTGTTCTCCATAGTGGCTGAACCAATTCACATTCCCACCAGCAGTGCAAGAGGGTTCCCTTTTCTCCACACCCTCTCCAGCATTTATTGTTTCTAGATTTTTTGATGATGGCCATTCTGACTGGTGTGAGATGATATCTCATTGTAGTTTTGATTTGCATTTCTCTAATGATTAATGATGTTGAGCATTCTTTCATGTGTTTGTTGGCAGTCTGTGTATCTTCTTTGGAGAAATGTCTATTTAGGTCTTCTGCCCATTTTTGGATCGGGTTGTTTGTTTTTTTGTTATTGAGCTGCACGAGCTACTTGTAAATTCTGGAGATTAATCCTTTGTCAGTTGCTTCATTTGCAAATATTTTCTCCCATTCTGAGGGTTGTCTTTTGGTCTTGTTTATGGTTTCCTTTGCTGTGCAAAAGATTTGAAGTTTCATTAGGTCCCATTTGTTTATTTTTGTTTTTATTTCCATTACTCTAGGAGGTGGGTCAGAAAGGATCTTGCTGTGATTTATGTCATAGAGTGTTCTGCCTATGTTTTCCTCTAAGAGTTTGATAGTTTCTGGCCTTACATTTAGGTCTTTAATCCATTTTGAGCTTATTTTTGTGTATGGTGTTAGGGAGTGATCTAATCTCATACTTTTACATGTATCTGTCCAGTTTTCCCAGCACCACTTATTGAAGATGCTGTCCTTTCTCCACTGTACATTCCTGCCACCTTTATCAAAGATAAGGTGACCATATGTGCGTGGGTTTATCTCTGGGCTTTCTATCCTGTTCCATTGATCTATATTTCTGTTTTGGTGCCAGTACCATACAGTCTTGATTACTGTAGCTTTGTAGTATAGTCTGAAGTCAGGGAGCCTGATTCCTCCAGCTCTGTTTCTTTCTCAAGATTGCTTTGGCTATTCAGGGTCTATTGTGTTTCCACACAAATTGTGAAATTTTTTGTTCTAGTTCTGTGAAAAATGCCATTGGTAGTTTGATAGGGATTGCACTGAATCTGTAGATTGCTTTGGGCAGTAGAGCCATTTTCACAATGTTGATTCTTTGAGTCCAAGGACATGGTATATCTCTCCATCTGTTTGTATCATCTTTAATTTCTTTCATCAGTGTCTTATAGTGTTCTGCGTACAGGTCTTTTGTCTCCTTAGGTAGGTTTATTCCTAGGTATTTTATTCTTTGTGTTGTAATGCTAAATTGGAATGTTTCTTTAATTTCTTTTTCAGATTTTTCATCATCAGTGTATAGGAATGCCAGAGATTTCTGTGCATTAATTTTGTATCCTGCTACTTTACCAAATTCATTGATTAACTCTAGTAGTTTTCTGGTAGCTTCTTTAAGATTCTCTATGTATAGTATCACATCATCTGCAAACAGAGACAGTTTTACTTCTTCTTTTCTGATTTGGATTCCTTTTATTTCTTTTGCTTTGATTTTTGTGCCTAAAACTTCCAACACTATGTTGAATAATAGTGGTGATAGTGGGCAACCTTGTCTCGTTCCTGATCTTAGTTTCAGTTTTTGAAATGGTTTCAGTTTTTGACCATTGAGAATGATGTTCGCTCTGCGTTTGTCATATATGACCTTTATTATGTTGAGGTAAGTTCTGTCTATGCCTATGTTCTGGAGAGTTTTTATCATAAATGAGTGTTGAATTTTGTCGAAAGCTTTTTCTGCATCTATTGAGATGATCATATGGTTTTTATCCTTCAATTTGTTAATATGGTTTATCACATTGATTGATTTGCATATATTGAAAAATCCTTGCAATTCTGGGATAAACCCCACTTGATCATGGTGTATGATCCTTTTAATGTGCTGCTGGATTCTGTTTGCTTGTATTTTGTTGAGGATTTTGGCATTTATTTCATCAGTGATATTGGCCTATAGTTTTCTTTCTTTGTGACATCTTTGTCTGGTTTTGGTATCAGGGTGATAGTGGCCTCATAGAATGAGTTTGGGAGTATTCCTCCTTCTGCTGTATTTTTGAAGAGTTTGAGAAGAATAGGTGTTGGCTCTTCGGTAATGTTTGATACAATTTGCCTGTGAATCCATCTGGTCGTGGGCTTTCATTTGTTGGAAGATTTTTAATCACAGTTTCAACTTCAGCACTTGTGATTGGTTTGTTTATATTTTCTCTTCCTTCCTAGTTCAGTCTAGGAAGGTTGTGCTTTTCTAAGAATGTGTCCATTTCTTCCAGGTTGTCCATTTTATTGGCATATAGTTGCTTGTAGTAATCTCTTATGATCCTTTGTATTTCTGCAGTGTCAGTTGTTACTTTTCCTTTTTCATTTCTAATCCTGTTGATCTGACTCTTCTCCCTTTTGTCCTGATGAGTCTGGCTAATGGTTTATCAATTTTGTTTATCTTCTCAAAGAACCAGCTTTTAGTTTTATTGATCTTTGCTATTGTTTTCTTCATTTATTTTTCATTTATTTCTGACCTGATCTTTATGATTTCTTTCCTTCTGCTAGCTTTGGGGGTTTTTTGCTCTTCTCTCTCTAATTGCTTTAGGTGTAATTTTAGGTTGTTTATTTGAGATTTTTTTTGTTTCTTGCGGTAGGATTGTATTGCTGTAAACTTCCCTCTTAGAACGCTTTTGCTGTATACCATAAGTTTTGGGCCATTGTGTTTTCTTTGTCAATTGTGTCAGGGTATTTTGTGATTTCCTCTTTGATTTCTTCAGTGATCTCTTGGTTATTTAGTAGTGTATTGTTTAACTTTCATGTGTTTGTATTTCTTACAGTTTTTTTTCTCCTGTAATTTATATCTAGTCTCATAGCATTTTGATCAGATAAGATACCTGAGACAACTTCAATTTTCTTAAAGTTACTGAGACTTGATTTGTGACCCAAGAGATGATCTATCCTGTAGAATGTTCCATGAGCACTTGAGAAGAAAGTGTATTCTGTTGTTTTTGGATGGAATGGAATGTCCTATAAATATCAATTAATTCCAGGTTGTTTAATGTGTCATTTAAAGCTTGTGTTTCCTTATTTATTTTCATTTTGGATGATCCGTCCATTGGTGAAAGTGGAGTGTTAAAGTCCCCTACTACTATTGTGTTACTGTCAATTTCCCCTTTTATGGCTGTTAGTATTTGCCTTATGTATTGAGGTGCTCCTATCTTGTGTGCATAAATATTTACAATTGTTTTATCTTCTTCTTGGATTGATCCCTTGATCATTATGTAGTGTCCTTCTTTTTCTCTTGTAATAGTCTTTATTTTAAAGTCTATTTTGTGTGATATGAGAATTGCTACTCCAGCGTTCTTTTGATTTCCATTTGCATGGAATATCTTTTTCCATCCCCTCACTTTCCATCTGTATGTTTCCCTAGGTCTGAAGTGGGTCTCTTGTAGACAGCATATATAAGGATCTTGCTTTTGTATCCATCAGCCAGTCTATGTCTCTTGTTTGGAGCATTTAATCCATTTACATTTAAGGTAATTATCAATATGTACATTCCTATTACCGTTTTCTTAATTGTTTGGGGTTTGTTATTGTAGGTCTTTTCCTTCTCTTGTGTTTCCTGCCTAGAGAAGTTCCTTTAGCATTTGTTGTAAAGCTGGTTTGGTTGTGCTGAATTCTCTTAGATTTTGTTTGTCTGTAAAGGTTTTAATTTCTCTGTCAAATCTGAATGAGATCCTTGCTGGGTAGAGTAATCTTTGTTGTAAGTTTTTCCCTTTCATCACTTTAAATATGTTCTGCCACTGCCTTCTGGCTTGCAGAGTTTCTGCTGAAAGATCAGCTGTTGACCTTATGGGGATTCCCTTGTATGTTATTTGTTGTTCTTCCCTTTCTGCTTTTAATATTTTTTTTTTTTTTTTTTTGCGGTACGCGGGCCTCTCACTGTTGTGGCCTTTCCCGTTGCAGAGCATGGGCTCTGGATGCGCAGTCTCAGCGTCCATGTCCTAAGGGCCCAGCCGCTCCGTGGCATGTGGGATCTTCCCGGACCGGGACATGAACCCGTGTCCCCTGCATCGGCAGGCGGACTCTCTTCCACTGCGCCACCAGGGAAGCCCTGTATTGAATTTTTGATAGTTTGACTAATATGTGTCTTGGCATGTTTTTCCTTGGATTTATACTGTATGGGATTCTCTGCACTTCCTGGACTTGATTGACTATTTCCTTTCCCATTCTGGGGAAGTTTTCAACTATAATCTCTTCAAATATTTTCAGTTCTTTTTTTCTTTCCTTTTCTTCTTCTGGGACCCCTATCATTTGAATGTTGGTGTGTTTAATGTTTTCCCAGAGGTCTCTGAGAGTGTCCTCAATTCTTTTCATTCTTTTTTCTGCTCTTTGGTAGTTATTTCTACTATTTTATCTTCCAAGTCACTTATCTGTTCTTCTACCTCAGTTATTCTGCTATTGATTCCTTGTAGAGAATTTTAAATTTCATTTATTGTGTTGTTCATCATTGTTTGTTTGCTCTTTAGTTCTTCTAGGTCCTTGTTAAATGTTTCCTGTATTTTCTCCATTCTATTTGCAAGATTTTGGATCATCTTTACTATCATTACTCTGAATTCTTTTTCAGGTAGACTGCCTATCACCTATTGATTTGTTTGGTCTGGTGGGTTTTTCCTTTGCTCTTTCATCTGCTCTGTATATCTCTGTCTTCTCATTTTGCTTAACTTACTGTGTTTGGGGTGTTCTTTTTGCAGGCTGCAGGTTCATAGTTCCCGTTGTTTTTGGTGTCTGCCCCCAATGAGTAGCTTCAGTGGGTTGTGTAGGCTCCCTGGTGGAGGGGACTGGTGCCTGTGTTCTGGGATGAGGATTGATCTTGTCTTTCTGGTGGGCAGGACTGCGTCCGGTGGTGTGTTTTGGGGTGTCTCTGAACTTAGTGTGATTTTAGGCAGCCCCTCTGCTAATGGGTAGAGTTGTCTTTCTGTCTTTCTAGTTGTTTGGCATGGGGTGTCCAGCACTGGAAGTTGCTGGTCGTTGAATGGAGCTGGGTCTTAGCCTTGAGATGGAGATCTCTGGGAGTGCTCTCACTGATTGATATTACATGGGGCCAGGAGGTCTTTGGTGGTCCAATGTCCTGAGCTCTGCTCTACCATCTCAGAGGCTTATGCCTGAAACCCAGCGGGAGCACCAAGACCCTGTCAGCCACACAGCTGGGTTCAATCATGTACATGGTCCAAATGGTCTCAACAACACCTTGCTCTCTGAAGGCTGCATCCTTGATAGTGGCTCTGACTGTAGAAAGGGTGGACAGAATGTACATTCCAAGGTAGGATTGGGGGGGCAGGGGAGAGTGACCTCTTTTATCGCTTTTTTAACAGAAGAATAAGAAGTGAGGAAAAGCCAGAGTGAGTCTCTCTTAGAGTTGCCTGTACTTCCCCTAGGGGATTCCTGTATTCTCTACGTCCACGCTTTTCGTATCCCGTCCTTACTCTGCAGTAAAAATAAGATAGCATCTTGGGGCTGCACGTGTGAAAAACTTGGAAGTCACCACCTCATCCCAATAACAAGTGAAAAGCTGAACAGACTAGAAAATCAGCAGCTCTTTGAAGGTCCCTAAGAGAGGTGAGTATGAAGGGCAAGCTCTGCATGTAAGATTGGAGACAGGTGAGCCACAGCTTCCCAGACAGAAAGCAGCTCAGGAGCCAGTGCTGGGGTAGGAAACCTCACCTGTAATTGGTGAACTGCTGGAGGCTCAGTGTGGACAAGCCTGAGAAATAACAACTCCAGGGGACCCAGTTGTGGCAGCGGAGCCCTCGTCCTGTGGGATTTACCTCCAGGAGCTTGACATGATTCTCATAGTAAATACTGGAGAAAAATGCCCCCTGATTCTGGCAGGGGGAGGGGAAAGGGACCACCCAGAAATACACTGGATCTCTCTGTTCTTAACAAAGCTGACCCTCAGGAGAAGCTAGTTAGCCAGAGCCCACACTGCTGGGGTGTTATGAGAGCCCAGCTGACGGGGGAGAAGAGAAAGGTATGGCTCTAGTTCACTCCAGCCTTCCTGTCTCACCTAAGAAGGCAGAACAAACCTGAGACACACTGAGAAGTTCACAGTCTGGGTCACAGACTCGCCAGAACACTGAGACCCGATCCCAGGACTTCAATCCCTCCTCCAAACCTCACCACCATGTTACCAGAGGCCTGTCTACTTTATTTTATCAGCTTACTTTACCAGGCACATCATGTCCAGCAATCAAAAATTACAAGGCATACGCAAAGGCAAACCTGCAGCTGGAAGGTACAGAGCATGTATCACAACCAGACTTAGCAATGTTGCTGGAGTTTAAAACACTATGACCAATATGCTGAGGGAGAGACTGAATAGAGTAGACAGCACAGGCGGAGATGTGAATCCTAAACAAAATTGAAAAAGGGATGCTAGAGATCAAAACCCCGGGATGGACATGAAGAATGCCTTTGATGGCTCAACAGTAGACTGGACATGGGTGAAACCTCTGAGCCTGATTATCTCAACAAAAACCTCCAACACTGAAAGCAAAGAGAAAAAATGCTGAAAGAAACAGAAGAGTACATCCAAGGACTTTGGGACAACTCCAAATGGTGTAAATGCACATAACGGGAAGACCAGAAGGAGAAGAAAGACAGGAAGGGACAGAGAAAGCTTTGAAGTAAAAGCCACTGAAAATATCCCCCAATTAAAATCAGATACCAAAACGCAAATGCAGGAAGCTTAGAGAAAAACAGGAAGGTTAAATGGAAAAAACAAACAAAAACCTACATGTAGGCTTATCGTTTTTGAACTACAGGAAATCAAAATAAAGAAAAACTCCTGAAAGAAGCCAGTGGAAAAATCACATCACCTATAGAGGAGCTATGATACAAATGACCTCTGGTTTCTCCTCAGAAACCAGCAAGGAAGAGGAGATTGGGGTTGAGAAAGTGCTTTGAGGGAAAAACTCACCAACTTAGGATTCTGGCCCCTGCAAAATTATCTTCTAAGTGGAGAAGAAATCAAGACGTTTTCAGACACACAAAAAACTGAAGGAATTTATTGTCAGGAGACCTGCCTTGTACAAAATGTTAAAACACATTTTTTTCAGAGGAAAGGTAAAGGATACAGGTCAGAGACTCACATCTACATAAAGAAAATCAAAGAAGTAACAAGTAAAGGGAAAACAGAAACTTTATTTTCTTATTCCTGATTGCTCATTTTGAATTCAAGAAATCTATTTCTTGTTTTCAGTAGTAAAAGAGAATTATGCTGTGATATAAAGTTTTCCAGTTTTTAAAGGTACAATATGGTGGCCGCTGAATATTATCTCTAAGACACACATCATTACCTACAGAGCGCTGACTTAAACCCTTAAATCCATCTTGATTGCGGCTTGAGAAGCCGCTTAAGATACTGTAGAGAATAAACACCAACAAAACCATTTATGGCTACAGCTGTACTACAGTTACGTTTAAAGCATTCCTTGCAGTAGAGACAGCAGCTCATCAGCAGAGAATGCTGAGGAAATGGTCTGAATGTGCTAGCAAAAACATCTGTTAAACTCATAAATGGATGTGAGACGATTCAGCTGTGTGGAATTACCTCCTAAGAAACTGTGAAATGGATTATACCACGAGTTATACGGACATCTCTTACTGAGATAAACATAAAGCCCTGTTTTTAATTCAACATTGTATGTACTGTATCATTTCAGCCTTTTAATAATGAATAATATTAATAATTTAATAATAATTGTCTGCCCATAGGGTTAGGGTCTTGGTGGTCTTACCTTTAGACTGACCAGTGTTTTAGTTTTGTGAACAGATGTGCGCCCAGGAAAAGACAGGATACTTTAGAATTGGGGGTTAAAGGAAAGTTTCTGACAATTAACAATCCTCGGTACACTCAGCTTGTTACAGCTGAGGTAAAGGTGGATACACTGCAGTACCAAGGTTGTACCGCTTGGCCTTTCCTAATACAGACACCAGATTTAGGGCCAAACTCATTTGATTATTTTTTGGTTAAAGATGTCTTTTGGTAAGAGATATTTTTGTTGTACACTGAAACTAAAATAAATGGAAGTTAAAAAAGTGGAAACAAATTATCAATTTAACACCCGGCTTTGTCAACGGAAGTAGAGCCTGACTGTGGTTTTATATCACTTACCTGAACTAAGGAAATAATTTAGGCTTCAATCTGCATAGCTGACAATCAAATTTAAGCACTGACAACAATTGTGATGGTTTACTTTTGTTTTAAAAAGACTTTATAATTTTAGAGTAGCTTTAGGTTTACAACAAGTTGTGAGGAAGGTACAGAGATTTTCCACGTATCCCTTATCTCCACCCAAGCTCAGCCTCCCTGATATCAATGTCACTCATCAGAACAGTAGCTTTTTTTTTTTTTCTTAACCAAGGATGAACCTACGTTGACACGTCATAATTACCCAAAGTCCATAGTTTCCATTAGGATTTACTCTTGGTGTTGAACAGGCTATGGATTTGGACAACTGCATCATGATTTGTGTCCATCATTATAACATCATACAAGGTATTTTCACTGTCCTAGAAATCCTCTGTGCTCTGCCTGTTCATCTCCCCCAACACTAGCCCAGGCAACCACTGTTCTTTTACTGTCTGACTAGTTTTGTCTGTCCCACAGTGTCCTATAGTCAGAATCATGCCGCGTGCAGCATTTTCACGTTGGCTTCTTCCACTCAGTGATGTGAAATTAAGGTTCCTCCTGTCTTCCTGTTGCCTGATAACTCACTTCTTTTTGTGCTGAATAGTAGTTCATTAGCTGAATGGACCACTACGTACCCACTCACCTACTGAAGGACGCGTTGGTTGCATCCAAGTTTTGGCGATTATGAACAAAGCTACGATCAACACCCACGTGCAGCTTTTTGAGTGGGCATCGGTTTGCAGCCGCTCTGGTAAACACCAAGAAGCACAGCTGCTGGATCATATGGAAAGAGAACGTTCAGCTCTGTCTTGATGAGAAGTCTCCAAACTGTCTTCCCAAGTGGCTGCACCATTTCGCATCCCCAGTAGCAATGACTGAGCATTCCTGCTGGCCCACATCCTCACCAGAACTTGATGTTGTCAAGATTTTGGATTCTGGTCATTCTACCAGGTGTGTAGTCAGGTTTATTTCCTTTTAATATTATTGGGATATTCTTGACAACCAATGGCAACCTGTTATGCACTTTCTAGGATATTCGTGTATCGTGGACACCACTGTATCACTTGACAAGTCTCTTTCTTCTCTTATGATAATGGAGCCGAATTTGAGGTTTAGAGCCTCTCATTAGACTCCATACCTGGTGAAAACCACTGGCACAAAAGTGCTGCATTTTTGGGAAGTGTATTTTCAACTAAGTGAGGGAACTGTTTCTTTTAAAAGGAGGACTTTGTGATGTTTCTAGAGTAGAAAAGCCTGTGCAGTTTGCCAGATGCGATAGATAGTAATGCCACTGTGGAATAAAAACCATGAGCTGAGGTAATAAGGAGTCCAAGGTAGTTCTGAAATGAAGCCTTGAAGGGCATCCTTCATCGCAATCTGAAGTTTTCAGAAGCCATGGCTTACGGATCATAGTTTTCTATTAAGATGAATCTAAAGATATGTTTTAGGAAATTAGCATACAGATATTTAGAACAATGTGTTAGGGGCATGAAGGATGGAAAAGAAATCAAAGATGAGTCCAGAGTCGTAAGTCTTGGAAATGAAACCTACTCCCAGTCCAGAAGGGACCCCCCTAGATGCCCTGGATTCTACCCCCTACTCCAAACGGAGGGGCCCATGAACCTGCCTGACCCGGGATTTTCCCTGGAAACTGATGTGGAGACACAAAGTGGTGTGGGTGTGCCTTGTGCACTGAATGACGATGTGCCCTTCGGGGCCAGAGTGATGCTTCAGAGCCAGGTGTCTTGAGGAACTACAGGGAGAGCCTCAAGGTAAAGAAGAGAAGAGTGAACTAGAAATAAAGAAAAAACATCAGGAGAGACAGAAAGAGATGGTGAGAGACAGACAGAGACAGACAGAGGCAGCGCCCTCTTGTTTCTGGTAATGATCGATGTCTTAGTTTCAGCCCATCTTTAACTTTCGTCCTGGGGGTCCAGGAGATACTAGTAAATTCTTTAAGAAGATCTTCTTTTTCTTGCACAAGGTTTAGGGGCTTCATAATCCTTGTAGATAAACTTTTCCTAAGCAAGACTATATGATTTATTTACATTTATACTGATTTACACATTTTTCTGTCACAGACAACTCGATTATTTTGTGTGTTTTGATGTGGACAGCATTAATATTCCGGCAGTCCAGTGCACACTTGAAGAGCTAAGAGTTGGGTGTCTGAAGGCAGTGGTCCCCATCGTTTTTGGCACCAGGGACCGCTTTCATGGAAGACAATTTTTCCATGGACCAGGGATGGGGTGTGGGGGAATGGCTCAGGCGGTCATATGAGCGACGGGGAGCGGCAGATGAAGTTTCGCTGTCTCGCCTGCCTCTCACCTCCTGCTGTGCGGCCCGGTTCCTAACAGGCTGCAGACCGGAACCGTCCGCGGCCTGGGGGTTGGGGACCCCTGTCTTAAGGGACCAAGAATTGTAATGTAATAGCCTCTTACATGTAGTCAAGGATTATATACTCTAAGGCGTACATATAGAGTGTCTGCTTGCTTGTTTCTTGTTCTGTTCTAAAAAGACTGATACAGAAAGTGACGAAAGCTTGTGGAAAGGAACCCTGCGAAAAGAGTTTTTTTCACGGTCAGGATTAACTAACTTTAGATTGAAGTTAATTAACTAAATGGATTTGTTAAGTAAGCTAGTACAAGACTGGAATTTGAAAGAAGTTTCTTAGAGTGTTCCTTTTTGATAACAGATTGTGTGAGTTTCTGTGCCCTTAAGTGATTTATATTTGTTTTTGTTTTTTTTAATCATTTTTTGACTTTGGTTAAATGAATAATTATTGTTTCATAGAGAACTATGATCCTGTTGTGTTTTAAAACCTTTTTGATATTTTTAACAAACTTCCCAAATATCAAAATCTAACTAAACCTCCTTTAGCTTCCAGCTGACTCTGAGACATGTCAGAGAGGAATGTTAAACTAATTAAGTGTATTTGGTATGTTAAATTACTTCAGAACATTGCCAAGCGATTGGAGATAAACCCTAGGTTATAGTGTATGGATAAATGTTATTAATATAGATATTCCAAAATTTATATGAAATTCTAAACATCTGATATGTCCTAATATAATGTTATCAGTCATAATTCCAGTTATTCTAAAATGTTCTATGTCACAGAAATATCCAAGCTTCCTGCTAATTGCATTGTACTCAAGTCTTTAACCATGCTATTTTAAGTTTTGTGCTTTATAGAAAATCATTATTTTACACTGATGCTTTTACAAAATGAAGATTTTCGAGAAGACTCATAAAAAGAAGTTTTGAGACAAATATAATTTTCTGATAGCTTTAGATAATACCACTGAACTGGGTAACAAATGACAAAACTCTAATGGAAAACCTGATTACTTCATCCAGATCTATAGGAATGAATTGCGTGGGACTGAATGAACTGGTGAACATGGTTTATAAACTTATGACTTTGGGAAATATGCTAGATTTAATCTTTGCCTTCCAGGAAAACCTTTTCTCTTATGCTATGACCTACAACAAATTGATAAAGTATGCATTTGTAAACAGAGATGAAGCGTGTATATTTTCTCTCTACCTGATCCCGCCAGAATTTGTCTTCTTTAGCCGGCTCCCCGGCAGACTTGATGGTTTACTGCCACCGGATTACAACTAGCTATACTAAAAAAAATAATAATAAAATAAATAAAGAGACTGAATAAGTTTGGATTGCTCATTACATCTAAATTAAGCAAACAATCATTAATCAGCTATTAACCTGAGCAAACATTGGGCTCCATTCTAAGGGTACAAAAAAGCACAAGGCGCGGTGTTTTAACCTTAGCAACTTGCAATCTAGTTTGGGAGGTGGAATATACACATCACGCGTCATCCGCCATAGTGAGCAGCTGGCAAAGGAGCGGTACAGATAACGAGCTTGGAACAAAATGTCATTCCGAGCAAAAAATTTATTTGTTCAAAAAACTTAATTCACACAAGAAGTAAGTATCTCTTGAGCTCTATCAACAGTGAGCAGATGCCCCAGGCTCTAGGAATTCCAGAGTTAAATAACACAATGTTCTGGAGCAAGAAGTATCCGAGAAGTAAACAATTCCGGAGCACAGGGCCAAACGCTGTGACTAAGGCACTCAGTAGCGTCCTGCCGGGGCTCAAAGGAGAAGCTCCAGCTCTGCCCCGAGAAGTTAGGGATTGTTTTGAAGTGGAGGAGGAGATGTTCTTGCAAATTAAGAAGAGAGAGTAACACTGTGTCAGGCAAAACGGGTCGTAAAACAATAGATGCTCAGCAAGGGAGGACTCTTCTGTGCTTGTGCGTGTTTAGAGTGGGCGGAACACGGAGGGTGTTTTAAAATGTAGGTTTTATTTTTCTTGATTTATGGTGAAGCTGGGACATGAGGAGGTGACTGTCCCTGAAAGAACTGTCACCCTCGGTTCCCAAGTAAGGGGCGCTCCAGCCACACGGGGAAGAGGAGGGAAGGGGTGGAGACTGTGGGCAAGGACCACGGTTCTTGAGGGGAGGGACGGACAGGACTTGGGCAGGCTCCGCGGGCTTAGGCTGCGCCACTTTGAACAGTTTGGGGCAGGCTCTGGGGCCCCGTGGCTGTTCCTCGTTGCCCGGCTCTGGGGTCGCCAGTGTAGGGAGAGCGCCCGGGAGGGCGGGGGCTGCTCAAGGTAGCGGTTTGGAGGTTGCCCTCGGGGTGCTTGGTTTGAGTAAGAAAGTGAGCTTCCAGGCGCGGCTTTGCCGCCTCTAGGAATTAGCTAACCCTGGGAGGGGCAGTCCTTCTGGAATAAGCAAAGCCCCAAGATATCAGAGCGTCAGGAAATAAAGAAAACAAAACACATAGTTAATAGGTAACGTGCGTGACAAGGCAAGGACCGGACTGCAAGGGTCGCCTCTGCCCCTGAAGGGACCCCCAGGGGAGGTGCCCGGAGCAGCCTCACGTGGAGAGTCTTTGGGCATCAACGTGCTGAGTTTGGCCGTGGAGCCCGGAAGAGCTACCAGGCTCCCCCAGAACCTCCCTCAATTTCCTTATTGTCCCTGATGATGTCTGTTTCCTGGACCCTTTGACCCCTGTCTGCCTGGTACCACAAGTGCCATTGACTAAGCACAGGGCGGGCAGGCTTTCCCCACGTGGTCTGCCTGACCCTCAGTCCCCTTAGATAGACATCTGCA